GGTTCATGCTGCTTTTACATGTCACTGTCCTGTTTTCCCAACACCATTTGCTGAAGAGACTGTCTTTATTCCAGTGGATATTCTTTTCTACTTTGTCAAGGATTAGTTGGCCATACCTTTGTGGGTCCATTTTTGGGTTTTCTATTCTGTTCCATTGATCTGAGTGTCTCCTTTTGTGCCAGTACCATGCTGTCTTGATGATTACAACTTTGTAATACATCTTGAAGTCTGGAATTGTGATGCCTCCAGCTTTGGTTTTCTTTTTTAGGATTGCTTTGGTTATCCTGGGTCTTTTCTGATTCCATACAAATTTTAGGATTGTTTGTTCTAGCTCTGTGAAGAATGCTGGTTTTATTTTGATAGGGGTTGCATTGAATATATAGATTACTTTTGAAAGTATCGACCTTTTAACAATATTTGTTCTTCCGATCTGTGAGCATAGAATATTTTTCCATTATTTTGTGTCTTCTTCGGTTTCTTTCATAAGTTTTCTATAGTTTTCAGTGTATAGGTTTTTCACTTCTTTGGTTGGGTTTAGTCCTAGATATTTTATGGGTTTTGGTGCAGTTGTAAATGGGATTGATTCCTTGATTTCTTTTTCTGCTACTTCATTATTGGTGTATAGAAATGCAACCGATTTCTGTGCATTGATTTTACATCCTGAGACTTTGCTGAATTCCTGGATCAGTTCTAGCAGTTTTTGGTGCAATCTTATGAGTTATCACATAGAGTATTATGTCATCTGCGAAGAGTGAAGAAAGTTTGACTTGCTCCTTGCCAATTTGGATGCCTTTTATTTCTTTGTGTTTTCTGATTGCTGAGGCTAGGACTTCCAATACTGTGTTGAATAACAATGGTGAGAGTGGACATCCCTGTCTTGTCCCTGACCTTATGGGGAAAGCTCTCAGTTTCTCCCATTGAGGATGATATTAGTGGTGGGTCTCTTGTATATGGCTTTTATGATCTTGAAGTATGATCCTTCTATCTCTACTTTTGAGGGATTTTTTTTCAAAGGATGCTGTATTTTCAAATGCTTTCTCTGTATCCATTGAGTGAATCATATGGTTCTTATTCTTTCTTGTATTCATGTGATATATGACATTGATTGATTTGTGGATATCCCAGGTATAAATCCCACTTGATCATGGTGAATAATTTTTAATATATTGTTGGATCCAGTTGGCTAGTATCTTGTTGAGAATTGTTGCATCTGTGTTCATTAGGGAAATTGGTCTGTAGTTCTCTTTTTTAGTGGGGTCTTTGGTTTTGGAATCAAGGTA